GCTGAAATTTCGGAGAAAATCGGAGAAAATTATAGAGAGCATATTCACAAAATTTGGGGTCAAAATATCCACTTTGACCATTTTGTCTGAAATTCCAGCCAAATTTTCAAAGTGGATATTTCGAGCCCAAATTTTGTGAATATGTTCCTAAGAATTTTCTCCGATTTTCTCCGAAGTTTCAGCCAGATTGGTTCATTCTCCGCGGTGTCGCGGAATTTTCTCCATTTCTCTGAATTTTTCTACATTTCAGTGAATAACCCCAATATATATTTCATTGTTTCCTTTTTTTGTTAAATTTCAGTTTCAGTACCACAAATATTCTTGATCGTTTTCATCTATAAACATTCAAAGTTGATTATTTAAATATTCATTTTTAATATTCTGTTTTCCTTATTCCTTCTTCGGGATTTTCAAATTTTTGCTATCGCTCCCTTTGCCGTCCGTCCTGATTTCTCTCCTCTAAATATTGCAAAGCACATCGGTTCTCTACCCTCAAAAGTCGGCTTCTCCCCGGATTTTATCAACTTCCTTGTAATCAAAAAGTGCAGTGATGCGATAACCATCCCTCTTTCGCTCATCTTCCAAGAATCCTTCTCCTCCGCCAAATTTCCTGAGATCTGGAGGCACTCTGTTGTTAGTCCAATATTCAAGAAGGGATCCAAATATGACGCTAATAACTACAGACCCATAACGCTCACTCATGCACTTTCCAGACTCTTCGAAAGATTAGTCCTTGAAGAGCTAAAACGTGTTATCGGCCCGAGTATTTCTCCGAATCAGTACGGATTCGTCAGTAAGCGATCCTGTGTACTAGCCGTCCTTGAGTCCACTTCCAGAATACAGAAAACCTTAGCAAATAAGCAACAATTCGTAGATGTTTTTTTCTTTGACTTTCGCAAGGCATTCGACACTGTCCCACACAATCTCTTGCTGCTGAAAATGAGGCGAATAGGTATTGATGAACGATGCTGCGATTGGTTCGAGTCCTTTCTCAGCAACCGCTCATCCAACGTCAAGGTTAATGGCCTAATCTCAACCAGCGAGATTGTTGTCAAATCCGGAGTCCCCCAAGGAAGTGTCACTGGCCCCTTTTTGTTTCTGATCTACATTAACGACTTACTATGCAGAGAAGTATCGAAATCGTCGAGCACTGGTGTGACATCTGGAGACTCAAACTAGCCGAAAATAAGACGGCCGTTATGCATTATGGTAAACGCAATCCTAAGACAGTTTATTTTATTAAGGGATCCCCCATTACTCCGCATCGCTCATTCAAGGGCCTAGGTATACTAGTTGATGATCAACTTCAATTCGACAAACACATCAATCTTATTGCCTACTCTGCTAAACTCAAGTCCCGCCAAATACTGAAAACGTTCCAATCGAAAAACCCTTGTCTATATTTCCGTCTCTTCGACACCTACATTAGACCGGTCCTCGAATACGGTTGTGAACTTTTCGATCCATCCAATTCCACACTTGCCAATAAACTAGAATCTCCTCTTCGTTATTTCACCAGAAAAGTCTTTCAGAGATGTAATATGCCCTTCAATTCATACACCGATCGCCTATCCCAGTTCTCTATGCTAACCACCCTTCATCGCCGCACCCTTCTAGTTCTTCGTACCTATCACAAAATTGTTATAAACTCATACCATTTTCCCTCTATATCGTCCTACATTCTTCCCAGCCATTCTAACAGAGCCCCGTATTTGTTCAAAATCAACGGTCAATACTTTGACTGCTTCCTTCACAGAAGCTTGTCTATGTGGAACCGTGTATGTAAGGTGATAAATTCTAAGCTCAGTCCGGTGGCGTTTGCTAAGCGAGTAGGAGCGATTCCTTATGATATTCTGATCCCTCCCACTTGACCTACAGGACTCTAGTCGGTCCGTCTGGTCATTTTACTTTTTTATTTGTACAGGTCCCATTTCTTGCCAAATTATCTATCGATTTCCCCCCATGCATTGCAAATAAATATTATTATTATTATTTATAACGCTCGTCTTTATTTTTTATAACGCTCGTCTTTATAACGCTCGTCTTTTTTATCTCATGAGAGATATCTCTAGAAAAACAAAAAACAACAAAAAATTCCGGAGTGTATGGAAATAGGCGGGGCGAGCTGAAAACTGCGGCACGGAAATCCGAGAAAACCGTGCGGCGCTTTTCTGTTTGGCGCCATCGCTCCCATCATTTGAACACGCGTTCTCTTTTTTTTCCCAAAAAACGGTCATATTAATTCATCTAAAGTTTTCAGTCTTTAATGAGGTTGCTTCTGAAATTACTAATCAATTGGTTTCTTCTCTTTGAAGTGAAATATCTCATCGGTGGTTTTTCTCGACAGCTTTTATTTAATAAATCGAAAACACCGAGCTAAAAGTTTTGACCGTTTTTTTCTAAATTTACTGACAAGTTCAGAGCTAGAATAGCCAGGTACTTTTTTGGCAGTAGAGCTGTTTGAATCAAAATGTTTTCACAAAGCGTACTGCGATTGGTGCGAAACTGTTCTTTCTCAATGCTTTCTTCAGTTTCCCCCTTTTCCAATTATGTTCTGTAATTTTCAGATGGCAGACGTTCAGTTTGACATCGGAGACTCGTGCGTCTGTCTGCACACAGGCAATAATCCATATGAGGCGAAAGTAATCGATAAGAAGGATTTTCAAGGAAAACAATGCTATATTGTTCACTTCAAAGGCTGGAATTCTCGATACGACCAGAAAATTCCAATCGGAGAACATTCCACCAAAATGTTCAAATGCACCCTCGAAGAATATCAGAATGATCATCAAGGAGAGCCATCGGAGCCAAAAGCCAAGAAAAGAGGTGCCAGAGCGGTAGCAGAAGATGCTCAACCAGAGAGCAGTTCGAAACCAGCAAAGAAAGCGGCGAAAATCGTGGCACCCGAGACAGCTACCAGAGCTGCAGCAGAAGATGCTCAACCAGAGAGCAGTTCGAAACCAGCGAAAAAGACGGTAAAAATTGTGGCGCTCGAGATCGCAACAGAGCCAGTCAATGGTGAACAGCATCATAATGACCATCAAGGAGAGCCATCGGAGCCAAAAGCCAAGAAAAGAGGTGTCAGAGCGGTAGCAGAAGATGCTCAACCAGAGACTGGTTCGAAACGAGCAAAGAAAGTGGCGAAAATCGTGGCACCCGATACAGCTACCACAGCTGCAGCAAAAGATGCTCAACCAGAGAACAGCTCGAAACCAACAAAGAAAGCGGCAAAAACTATGGCACCCGAAGCCGCAGCAGAGCAAGTCAACGAAGGTGCTTCCTCAGTTTCAAGATCTTCCAAAAGAAAACCAGCGGTAGAGACTAAATCCAAGCCTGATTCCAAAGTAAGTAGTGTTCATTCATTTTCTTTTACGATGAGAATTCCACCACATGGAGCTCAGCGC